TATATATATATACTGTATAGTATATATAACTGTATTGTTTCTAATCACTCTTGCCTGGCTCACTGTATACTATCTGGCTTTTCCTACTCTCACTTACTCGCCACTGATGATGTATTGTTTTGCGTATATACACCTTATTGGACTCGGTGAATAAATCATTTAAATTATTTCCATTTCATTTGTCAGATAACATCTAAGATTTGAAACCTACCGGTCTGAAAAACTGTAACAACATAGATCATAAAGTCTCCATCTCACGAAGTGAATATAATTCCATATATCAGCTTAATTGAGGGGAAAATAATGACTTTATTGTAGTTATTTATTGGATCTTTAGCTGGTTTTGAGCACGTTGCATTGTTTCCTGCACTTTAACTCACTATAAGGCCATGTAAAAAAAGAAGTTGTTGATCGTCCCCTTCCTACATAAAAACAATCACTCAACCAAATTTATTTATTTGTTTATATTTATTTATTTTTTGCCAAAACTCACGAAAATATCGTTTTTCGGCCCGGTAATTCAACTTTGGCTAGGCCTATGTGTTTTGTGTAAGTATTTTGTCTTTCATTTGTTTGTTCGTACAGGGAGTTGTTAGTGTGAATAGATTCCACTGATCAAGCACTACAGTGGAAGATCCGTTAAGTTTAAATGAGGCCTTGCTCTTCATGGGGGATTGCAAGACTTGACATGTATCAAAGGGGTGGTTTCTCCCTCCCGGATGGAGTTGTCCAATTAAAATAAAAAAGATTTTTTATGTTACAGCTATACAAGAGTGGAACAAACTACCCTATATATCAAGTCTTCGCGGAGTTTAGTTTTACTTACGGTAATGATTAGTAATTTTATAGGTTTTTAACATATTTCAATGTTTGTTGTAATTTTTAATAATTTTTAATACTTTTTATTCATGGGACCCCAAATAAACCGCTTAGGTTATCCTGAGCTGTAAATGTTTTACTAAATTAAGTATTTTTTTTTATCATTGTTCATTGTTATGTTGTATGTATTCAATTGAATTGAATTGCAATACAGCTAAAATAAGTCTACATGTTACATTATTGATTCAACTTACCGACCTCATGATCGAACTCAGCGTATACCTTTATTTCACAAATGTTCAAATATTCGGATTTCGACGGAAACCATAGCAGGACGTAGCGACCAGTGATTGGCTGCTGGCATGTGATATCAATAATTGGACTCGTCACAACCTGCGCATTAGTAACAGATATCCCGCACTTTTCACCACTTCTTACCTCGTTGATTACGGAACTGATTCGCACTTCACCATCTTCTAACCGCAGATGTGAAACTGAACCTTAATATTTAACGAATCGATATGATTTTGCAAACAGCTTACCAACCATAATGTCACCATCATCAGTTTACACTCAAAAATAATATAATAATAGCTTAATACAATAATAATAATAATAATAATAATAATAATAATAATAGTAACAATAATAATGGTGATGATGATGATGATGATGGTGATGAGGATGATGCTAATGATGATAATGATAATATTACCAGAATTATTATTGTTCTTTCAATTACCAGCTACTCATTGGTATTGGTATTGCTGAGTATTTATAGAAAAAGTCAATGACAATAATAATAATAATAATAATAATAATAATAATAATAATAATAATAATAACAATATTGTTATTACCCAAAAATAAATAGGCCTATATGAAAATGAATGAAGAAAAATAACCCGCAGTGATGATGAAAACAGAAATTTATTCTGACCTGGTTGAACCCGATTGATGACAGTAACACTGGTAACAAGGTATTCCTTTGAAAGATCAAGTTGTATCCATTCCTGGTATGAGTTCCCTGAAATTGTCAAAATCAAATTCGTTAATAAGAAAAATTTGTTCTTTATTGCCGTAAAATAGTGAACATTTTACATTGGTACTGATTATGTTGATAGTCGAATAGAGGACAAAGGACATTCCACATGTTCAGAAAATATAGGAACGGTTTGCCTGAAAGGGAATCCACCCTTAAAATGCATGGCCTGAATTTGAAATTACTATGACATAGCTATTTTAGCCAATATATTTATTAGTGTTGTCACGAACTTGTTAAAAAAAATAACCTCTTAAATGAACGAGTGTGTACTACTGTACTTATTTTCGTGAATAAATCAAGTTTATATATATAAATTGCCTTATTTGAAAATCAAATACATTAAAACAAATTTGCCCACTCTTACTGGAATGAAAACAGGAGTGAGTAGAATATTCATATAAAAATGAATTATCGTCACCGTCTGTAGCTTTCTCGGGGAACGAATTGGCATGCACTGACTTTGATCTCGCAGGCGTCTTGAAGGATAGATATGCTGTGAAAATTAAAATGTTTATTCTATAACATAAAAGTAATAATAATAATAATAATAATAATAATAATAATAATAATAATAATAATAATAATAATAATAATAATAATAATAATGATAATAATAATAACAAGAACACTCAGTAGAGAGCATAATAGTCTGCCCACCACAAAACCCTTTCTATAAAATAAATCTCCCAATATATGTTCTTAATTTACTTCCACAACACTTCGCTCCACTACTCTTCAAATACCCACAGTAATTCGTCCAAACACTTTTTTTATTTCAAAGAGGGGTACTATTTCCCCTTTTAGTATATGTTTTGGAGACTCTTTTAAGAGTGGCCATTTTCAGATTTTGTAATCCAAATTTTACCAAAATTCAATATCGGCCTACTTTCACTACACATGTTACATTTTGAACACATAATTCAAGTAACATATAGTAGGCTTATTGAAACATTTTATTTTCAACTACTGATTGTAAAAAAAAAAATGTGACAACCCACTTACTTTCCAACCACTGCACCTACTTAAGAAAACACAATAACCGGCAAACCGGTAACGCTTTTTATTGCATAGTATACGTGTCAATTCCTTACTTTTGCTGGTTAAACACACATGAACATTTTACTTTTATAGTTGACAAAAAAATTCATGCCAAGTATTGGTGTTGAAATGGATATATTTATATTATGCAAATAGTCAATGCTTCTTAGCGTCACACAATTTTATATTCATTTTAGCATCTGAAATTTTAAAGTAAATTTTATTGAATCATCTGAAAATTTTAATATTTTAAATGCAAAACTTTAAAATTATGCTTGTTTTACTATAGAATTTTTACAATTGTTAACTTTCTTCTCTGTTAGCCGACCTGACTATGGAGATGAATAGCTTAATTGCTTTTATTTTTTTTTTAAATATACCTTAGCATTTTAAATTTGAATTTTAAAGTAAACTTTATTGAATAATCTGAAAATGTTAATATTTTAAATTATGCCTATTTTACTATTGAACTTCTTAAATTTTTAATGTTTATATATTTAAAAAAATGTATATTCTGTAAGTATTTGGTTGTTTCTTGTGAAGGGCCCCCACCAGACAGTGATTAAGTTCACTTTTGGGGTGCCCTGTCTCATATTGTCTGTGCTTGTTCTTTGCTGTTTCCTTTATTGTCAATTTGAATGTTTTGAGACGAACAAATGAAATGAAATGAAATAACGGAGGACATACGAGTACGAAAAAAAAAAACGTATGACCAAACGGCTCCTGTAAAAGCCGATAAAATTACATTATCACGAATGAACATCGAATACCTATACTTGGTTATTTGTTAAATGATTTTGATTTTGATATTAATAATTAGCAAAATGGTTGATGGCTTTGGAATCCATTCCCGATGAATGGAACAAATAGGCCAGCAGATTAGAGGCTATTTTGGGGTGGAGGTGGCAATGGAAGTACTACCGGCTAATTTTGATATTTTCTGAAAATATAGGTCTTGAGAAGTTCAGAACTCAAAATTACCCAAAATCCCTTTGGGGGAACGCCTCCAAATTACGCATTCAATATGGCCGCCATTTTTTCGCTTTAAATTATAGTTTTAGCTATATAATATAAAAAATAACATTACTCGAATAATCATCATCAACAATTGGTGAAACTTACTCAAAATATTCGTTAGTTATCGAAAAAGAATCTTGCGTTTAGAAAAACTACAATTTCATCACCATAGCAACCGTTGCTATGCAAATTTAAATTTCCTATTTTATTCATGAAATTTAAGTATACAGGAAGCCTAAAGTTTATTAAAATCTTTATTTTCATAGGTTTTATGAATATGTTTAACATCTGAATTATCTATTATTATCATAGAATAGGATTATTTAAAAGAAATGCTGAAACTTTGATATAATTGCATAGCAATACTCTTTTTATCGTCCATAGCAACTAAGCAAAATCAGCAGAATTGCTGTACATTTGTCATTGATTAAGCAAAAATCATGAGATACAATATTTTTATATAATAAACATCTCTTATTGAACAAAGTTAACACATTGATGTATAAAATACAAGGTCATCACCATAGCA